ATGCAAGAGATAATATAAGTAATATATAGTCTAAAACAATTTTCAAAGAATGCTAAGAATTTTTGCATGGTTTTAACAATTTCATTACTTGGCCACAAAACAACTGTGGGTAACCTCTTGCTTAAGACATATTACAAGAAGATGTGCCCAAAATTTTTTAGTTAGTGTATATTTATATTGGGATATGCTTACATAACAAAAGGAACTTTCATTATTTAATAATATTATTGATTAAGAATTTCCATGCTACTCTGTATAGCATAACCATGTATATTAAAAATCAGTGGAGAAACAGAGCATCTATGCTAGACACTGAGTTGGAGAAGTTGCTAAGGAAAAGCACCATGCAACTATGAAGTTACAAGTGGAGATATTTATCTTTTTTATTTGACAGAACTTAAAATAAAAATTATTATTATTCAAACTTGAACACATAGAGCATCTGATGCTAAAATAGAAATGAATGAGGCTGTCACATCAAGATAAACAAGTGTCATATTCAATGCCAATAATAAAATTATAATTTTAAAGATGAGAATTTTGGAAGTCTTGTTTCTTTTACTATGAAACTGACATCTTCCTGAAATGTAAAGTCCAATAATAATAGTAAAAATTCAGATGCTTTACTATAGTCTCATGACAATGATTTGGAGATATTTGTAGCAAAGTGATATTTTCCAAATAACTAATGTATGGCTTTCTTTGTGTGGGTAGAAAATCAATTCAAAGTACAAGATGGACAAAATGTTTTGTCTAGTTGATATAGAAAGGATAATGATATCATTTAGATTTCATATTACATTACTAGCTATTGAATTTTAGTGTTTAGTCAAAAATATTATTACCAGCCATCTGGAAAGACTATCACAATGCTCATTGCTGCAAAATAAGTCTATAGATTGGTACAAGTACAGTTTAGAATGCTTGCATAGATAACAGCTCTGAAAACTCAGTTACAACAAACAAGTCATAACCTAAATGTGGAAAAATCAGTCAAACTTAAGTGATATGTATAACAAAAATATTGTGTTTATTATTGCTCTTTCCAGTGATTTTAGTAAAGATGTCTAAGTGTCTCTCAACTTTAAATTTTATTATATTGCAATTTATACATGTACATATATAAAATTATTTTTCATGGATGTGTCCATATATAAACCTATTTACATATTTAAATCTCAAAATGCCATTAGTCTACTCAATAATTTCTGAGAGTACCAAAGTGTCCCTATACCAAAACAGTTCAGATCTATTCTTTAGATTGAGAATAAATACCCGCCTCCTTAGAACATTCCAGTGGACACTGATAGCCTCTGCAGCCACATTAACATATGTAGTTTATTTCGACACTCTCACACTTTGATCAATTTCTCTCATTCTAGACACTGTAAATTCTTTCTGTTTAATTTATGAGTTATTGGTATTTTTTATTCCTCTTAGTCCACAATAACAGTACAATTTTGAATTGTACCTGAATCCAATGTGTTTTGCTTAGATTTTATTGTCAACTTGATAGTACCTAGAGTCACTAGGGAGGATAGAAGCTTAATTGAAGAAATTGATCAGCTTGTACTATGACTACATCTGCGAGAAACTGTCTTGATTCACTTTTTGTTGTGGCAGTGTTTATCCAACTGTGGGCAACACAAACCCTAGGCATGTGGGAGTGGGCTGCAGAAGAAAGCTAAAAGAGAGCAAAACCGAGAAAGAAAAAGCCAATAAAGAAGCATTTATCCACAGTTGCTGCCTCCAGTTCATCCTTGAGTTCCTGGCTTGACCTTCCTCTATGATGGTAAGTGAATCAATTCTTTTCTTCCCATTTTGCTTTGGTCAGAGCAACAGAAAGCAAACTGGCTCAGGAGGTTAAAGGCAGAAAGAATAAAGTTGAATGACTTCTTGAAAATAATTCAATTCTGTAGTTGGGCATAAAATCAAAGGAGTGCTTGAGCAATTTTGTTTTCATATATATGAATTTTGGCCATCCCTATCAATAGTATGTTGAAAACATATATACACATATAAACACATCTGCAAATATGTAATGCAACTGTATTATAATAGTTGTTGTTAACTTATTCAATTTCTCTTTCAAACATCTCTTAAAACAATCCCAGAGATTTACAGTCTCATTTTGTACACCACTAATGCACTGAAGTACACATTTTCTGACTGGCATTTTATAGTTTTCCATTTTAATAGAAAAGTAAAGAAAAATAGAAATAAAACTCCCCCTGTTGTAGTTGTTTGTAGCTGATGATGGGCGAAAAATCCAAATTCAAAGCAGTATTTCAGTTGTCTAGAAGTCTGCACTGCTTTCTGAATGTGCTTTAGGAAATGTACAACCCAATAATTACACGAATTAAACAGTAATCCAAGAAAATTTGGAGGTGACCTTACCCTTTACGTTATAAATTTTAGAAAATAAAGGTCTATCTATACTGTGATGAATTTTGTTCCATCACATATATCTATTCTGTTCCAAATTCTTTGTACATATTCAGTTTTTAGCTTCTCTTATTTTCCTTATACATTTGGCACTCATAAAGCCTATTTATATTTTCAACTTATGTTTTAATTAAAATTTACTTTGAATTCTTATATAGATTACTATACCATATGAAGATAGTTTTGTTTCACCAATCACCCCATTCATGTACCTGAAAATGTGCATATACATTTACCATGGCATCATGTTCAGATTACTGATTTGTTTATACTGAATATTGCCATCCCACTAGTTCAAATACTCCTTATGCTCCCAATATTCGTAAATGCATATGTATGTTTGTGTTTATTCAACTTTGATTATCATAAACTGAATGTTAAAATCAAAATTATTATAATCAAACTTAGCAATTAGTTTCCAAGTCCTTTTCATTTTTTTATATTTCCTTTTTAGAATTAAATATTCAGTGTCAGCTTTTTAAAAATTGATATTAATCCACATGCAAAAATGATAAAATTGATTATAGTTAACTAAGAATTCTTTCTTTGACCATAATTCCTTATTAAATTACATTAATAGATTGTATACATATATATTAAAAATGTATGTCAAAAGAATTAAATTATCTTACATAAAGATAAAATAACAACTGACATGAATAATCACAAGGGAAGTTTTTGATGTGAACATTTTGTATTAAGAAATGAGGGCTTCTTAATCAGTATATTTTCTTCCTACCGTCACACCTTTAAAACGGGAAACTACACAATAAAAAGAAAACAAAGTAAGTAATGAAGAAAGAAACAGAAAAGAAAATAGAATGAAACAATGAAATAAGAAGAAGAAAAAAGTTAAGTAAATGAGAGAATGAAAAAATTCGTGCAGGATAATGGAAGTGCATTCAGAAAATATAAAAGTGTAAACACACACACACACACACATATTCCGTGCCACTTCACACACACAGGCTTTATAAGTGAACAATAGAAATCAACACCTTTTGGTAAAATATGAAGTAAGAGGTGATGTCATTTGTGAGAAATAAAATTAAAAAAATCATACATGGCCTGGTGGTGGTGGTGGTGGACACCTTTAATCCCAGCACGTTGAGGCAGAGGCAAGTGGATCTTGTGCATTTGAGGCCAACTGGGTCTACCAAGCCAGTTCCAGGACAGCCACGGCAGTTACACCGAGAAACCTTGTCTCAAAAAACCAAATACTAATCATCATCATTATCATTGTCATCATCATCATCATCATCATTGTTATCATCATCTACATCAGGAACACACGTAAAGAGTTTCAGGAGATTGTACAGAATGTTACAAATAGAATTACCTTGTTACTCAGAAATGCCTACTGTAGTATTTCTCAGTATGGTTGAAAACGCATGCCCACAACAACAACAAATAAGTACAAAAAATTTATAGATGCATCAGTCAAAATTTTCAGTGGAAAAGCAGTAATGTCCACAAAATGATGAATGGCTAGAAAAACTGACATATATGTAATACGTAATACACAATAACCACATATTATTCAATTCCTTTTATACAAAAGTTCTGAATGGGCAAAACTATGGAGACAAATAGTACATTCTACAAGTTTGTAGGTATGCATAGCCTATAGACAGATGAGGATTATACATTGTAAATGCCCACTGATATATATTTCATATATAATAAAAAGTAATCTTCAATTCAGATGGCATATATTTCTTCATACTTGAAGTACAGCATAAAGCTATGGAAAATGCCATTGTATTCTCTTTAAATCAAAATTTTAACATAGGTTTAATATGAAGGGTACATTTTTAAACATTCTAAGATATCTATGCTATAGATTTCTCTAATTAACTATGTAAGCATCAATTCAAAAGTTTAACATATTCATACCAGAAATAGTGCTAAAATGCATACTTTTGTGTTGTATACTTTCTTTTCGAGGTATGCTTAACCAGACTTCAAATAGATAAGTATAAGATTTTTATTCCAGCAATCTGTCAAAATGACTTAAATTCGAAACTTTTAAAACAGTTTTTCCAAATAAGCTCAACAACAAATACTTATGTATTTCATTTTTTATATTAAACATTAGAAATCTATTGATTTAAAATTATGGACTAGAATATGATTATATATATGAATTTCCAAATACTTACAATAGGACATAAACCCTTAATTGTTTTATTATAAAATTACATATGGAGAAATTTCTGTTTGCATCTTTTGCCTACTTCAGGTGCTCCCAATTTAACTGTGGTGATTTGTCTTTTATTGTGTTTGCCTAAATAGGGTTATAAACTGACTACCATAAAAAAAAAAAAGTAGAATGAATCCTTGATTACAGTAACAGAAAAAAGAAAAAAAAAGAAGTATCCACGTACATGTTCCCCATTGTATTATTCCTTAGAAACCACAGAAATGCATTATTTTGAGAGGAGAGAATCTACTCTGTTCGTAAACACAGCGCTGTGCACTGTGCACCCCCACACCTGCACGCAGAACTGTCCTGTGAGATCAGAAGCACAGCTGTAATGCTGCCCCAATCTTACCTCTGTCTCGGCAGGCTGATGAGGGGCTGTTTGTGGCACCGTTTGCTAAGGCTAAAGAGCTTGTGTACAATTCTTTGTGCCTTCAGGAAAAGCTGCTTCATGCTGTTTTCCAGTTGTTCATAGCGGCGCTGGAAATTAGAATCCATTGTCCATAAGTGCATTATGGTTGATGTGTTGAGGAAATAATTCATGGGTAGTCTTTTCATGAAGAACTTGAATTCATCTGAAAAATGAGAAAATTCAACATTTTAATTATAAGATGATTATTTTTCCCTGCAGCCAAAACAAATCCTACATAGTTAAAAATACTACAAGTTTAATAGTTGTGACTAACAAACTAATAAAAATGAGCTTTGGGAAGTTTTAAGATGTTATTTTTTGAACTTCTTAAGACATATGTTTCATGAAAGAGTATAAAAATAACTCAGACGAGAACAATAATTTAGGCAGAAAATTTAAATCCAATTTGTTTTCTGTATTCTGCCTTTGCTGTTATTTGAACAATATTTTTATAATATCTGATATATGTTTGACTTTCATATTTGGTATTAATGTAAATAATTCTTTGTGTGTATTAAAGAAAACTTCCCTATATATTCATTAAATCACTAGAGAAACAATTACAAGATTCATTACTGTGTCTTCTTAAAAGAACATTTTAAGTAGACGATTTTAATATTCAGCTGTGCTCTTCTCTCCCACTGTTTCTATTCCTTTCTCATGACATACCATTTTAAAACGTGTGCACAAAAGAAAAAAGTCAATTAGAATATTTAAAGCTCCTCCACTGGCTATTACCTTTCTATCAACAAATATCATACATGATATTCCTTTCATATCAAGTAAATGATTAACCTTCAAGAAAAATGGCAGTTGATGTTATATCATGGCCAGGGAGATGGCTCAGCAGGTAAGAATACTCCAGGAAAAGCATGAGAAACTGAGTTCAAATGCACAAAACCTGTGTAAAAAGCCAGTCATGGTCATGTGTGCACACATAACTTTGGCAATGGGGAGGGTGAGGCAGATAGAGTAGGTTGGCTGAGGATTGCTGGCTGCCAACCTCACTCCAGGTTCAGTAGCAGACACCATTCCTATTTAATAAGATGGAGAGTAATAACCCAGAGCGCCAGGTGTTGTCCTCTAGTCTCTGCATGTGTGCATGTATGTATATGGACTCATTATTTCAAATACACACGCACACACACACACACAGTTCATGTTACAGGAAAACAAATGATATAGAGGATCTGTTTATTATGTAAATAAACAAAATAGATGACATCGTATTCAAAGGGAGAAACAAGCAAATTGTCCTTTAGCAGACACTCAAATACACACCATGACATACATATATATTATTCAGTCATAATAATTAAGCCAGTCATAGTCTGTTGCATAGACTAACTTATATAACATTACTATTTTACTGTTCCAAATAATTAAACTCCATAGACCTTAAACATTATAGAATATTTTCATTGCTCTTGGTTACCCTTCAGAATTTAATTTTAAGACCTTTTTTCTGAAGACATCACTTCCTTGAGTCTAAAGTACGATAAACAAACATGAGTAGTGACCTGGAACCATCATCTCCACTAACTTTTATACTGCTGGAAGGTACTATGGACACTATTTGAGGAGAAAAGTAATCTCAAACTTAATCTTTTTTGTTTTATTAATTGAAAATAGATTTTTATACAATATATTCTCACTTGTTTTTTCCAAAACTCCTTCCCACAACCCTTCTTATCAAAATTTTACCCTTTTGTGAATCCTGTGAGTAAAAATGACAAACTTAGCCGGGTGGTGGTGGCGCACGCCTTTAATCCCAGCACTCGGGAGGCAGAGCCAGGCGGATCTCTGTGAGTTCGAGGCCAGCCTGGGCTACCAAGTGAGTTCCAGGAAAGGCGCAAAGCTACACAGAGAAACCCTGTCTCGAAAAACCAAAAAAAAAAAAAAAAAAATGACAAACTTACTAACCACATTTACCTACTAGTGCCATATAAGCATGGATATTATGGAAGCAAGCAATTGTCTTACCTATCTGTAAGGACCACTATAGGAGGAAGAATTGTTATCTGGCACTGCAAAACTGACCAGGAATGGTGGCTAGATAATTATAGACCCTACAGGAGAACCTACTAGCATTATCATGCTAAATAGACCAGGTATTAACATGATTTATTGACTCTGTGGTATATCCATGGATCAATGGATCTGAACTCTACGGAGAAGCTTCTTGCAGTGGATGACAACTAACATAGAAGCTTAACATTTAGAGAACAGATAGAGAATAAGTGATTCTGGCATGCTTCATGTGTATGTCACCCTTCCTCTTTTAAGGCTCAAGGATCTTCATGGAAAAGGGAGAAGACAGGCGGTATGAACCAGAGGTTGCATATATATTCAGCTGTATTGTGGTCACATCAGGGCAGTCGTACATATGAACTCACACATATGAAAGCATTGATATAATCTGTACAAGCTCAAGCCAGAAGCCAGCAAAATACCTCTTGATAAGCTATTGGCATTTGCTCTGCCAGGAGAGAAGTGACAGTTTTCTGTAATGGTACATCACCACATTCCAGGGCAGACCCAATATTCAAGGGTAACTAGGCAGAAGAAAACTGTTTGAAATGAGAAAGATAGAAATAGAATACAAGTTGAGTGACTAGTTATGTTGAGATGTTTCTGGGAGGAGTTTGGTGAAAATGATCAAAATACACTTTGTGAATATCTTAATGAATTAATAAAAATATTTGAAAAATTTATTCAGGTCACAAGTTTTATATGTGTTTTGGGGTAGGTCTTGTTTATAACTGAAGCCCAGCCTACTTAAATATCACATCTTTTGGATATTCAGCATATAGATTATTACTTGAAAAAGAAGAAAGAGTAAAACAAAGGGAAGATATTTTCAATAGCACAAATGTAATTGGAAGAAATTTTGTAGTATATTTGCATTAGATATGTTTAAAATCATCCTTTTAAATAAGCAGAATATAAATAATAAATTAATATCAAAGTTTTGGTTTGACAATATTGTGCATTTGTTTGCTTCCATATGTCTCTTTTGAGAAATATCCTCTTTTAAATAAAGAATCGATGTGTGGAAATTGGAACACACTCCTTGGATATTCACAGAGCAGATGCTGCTACTTTGAAAACTAATCATTCATTTCATAGTCATCTTTGACTCTTCTGATAAGACTTTATTGTGTTGTGGGCATGAATTTATAATTGCATTCATTGTCATCACAGTATTGGTAAAAGATCTAAATCAGGAAAATTGACTAAGGTTAAAGAACATTATAAGGTAGAAATTATTTATCTTACTGGAGTGTTTGCAAGAGTTTGTATCTGCTGAAAATCATCAGTGCATGATCTCTGTGAAACAGTTTTTAACATGACATATGAATAATTAGTTCATTATGAAGTCATTAGGAGCCACCATTGACAGTCACCCACAACAGTTATTGAACACCTGTTGTGAATAGAACATACAGATGTTTCAATCTATGACAGCAAGTGTGAGTAAACCTTTCATCTCACTTTTAACAATGACTAATTAATGATATGCATTATTTTCAAATGCTACAACAGCATCTTAAATTTTTGATAGCTGTTTTATTGAGAACTGAATAGATTTCCTGGAAATGTCATCACAAATATTTTTATCTCATTTTGGCATTTATTAAAATTAATATTTATAGATTAAAGAAATTATAGTTGAACAGAACACAGGAGTTATTATATTAATCAATATTACATAAACAGAAAGATAAGACAAAGAAGAAGAATTAGGGATGCCAGAAGATATTTTATCTTAATTTCTAATACTATGTAGAAAACTTCGTAGTTAAAGAGGTAAATGCATAATAACATGTCCAGAGGCTAGAGCAGTGATTAAGAGGTTTGATGAAGGGAAAGATGGAAGTTCAAAAAGAAGAGGACAGTTGTACTCTTGCTCTATAAAATAATACAATCCTACTCACTAACTCAGCAAAAAAAATGAATAAACAAACACAAACATTGCCAAAAATCCTTAAATGAATTTAAAGTTTTGAATAGAATGTAACTGAAGTTTTCCTGTAGCTGAAGTTTTCTTTGGTCCTGCCCAGTCCCACGGACCCTGGAGCCACTTATAAAATAATCACTCAGAAGCTTATATTAATTAAAAATGCTCAGCCATTAGCTCAGGCCTACCACTGACTAGCTCTTACATTTAAACTCAGCCCATTTCTCTTAATCTATATGTTACCACGTGTTCCATGGCTTTACCTGTGTGCCATTACATGCTGCTCCCTGAATGGCAGGCTGGTGTCTCCTGACTCAGCCGTCCTCTTCCCAGAATTCCCCTATCTCCTTATCCCACCTAGACTTTCTGCCTGACTACTGGCCAATCAGTGTTTTATTAAACCAGTGTACAAAAGCATTATCCTACAGCAATGGAACACACAGAAATTTTTACACTCTTCAAAACTTTCCAAGATTTAAGGCAGGATTTGTTATCTTGACATAACTACTATTGGGAGCAATGTGATCCTTTTTGTTAAATGTACTACCCTGATCATGGTAGGATGTGTGATAACATTCTTTTTTTGTTTGTATTGGAGATAGTCTCAGTGTACAGTGAAGACTGGCCTAGCCCTCAGTAAACAGTGTAGGCTGCCTGTAAACATGAGATCATTCTGCTTTAGCCTTATGATGCTGGGATTACAAAAGCAGGCTGCCATGCCTGGTTTTTAACCGTACTCTGTATTTTTTTAACACATAAATTATTATGCTCTGTTATGTCATTTGCAAACAAAATTGGTTTTGTTGATTCTCCTTTGTATCTTCTAACTCATCCCCCTTACTGTAATTTACACATCTGCTTCTAGTGTAGCCTTCCTTCTGCTTCTCTGCCTCATGCACCCTATTCTTTAACCCCTTCCTCAGCACTTCTTCTGCCCCTCTTGAGTCTCCTTTCTAACTTCATATGTTGTACTCTACCTTCACCTACGTATGTACATGGATCCACTAAAGTCGAGAACCTATAAATGAGAGAGAACACGTGATGTTTGAGTTCTGAGCCTGGATCAAATCACTTAATACACTATTTTGCAGATCCATCTATCTTTTAGCAATTTTCATAATTTTGTTCTTCTTTATAGCTGAACAAATTCTGATTGTGACTTTATATTATGGTTTCACTATGTACCCATCTGCGGATGGATC